AATTAGGTGTAATGTGGTTTTATTGCAAGCGCAGGTTGCGCGTGCTTTGACGACATCGCTACAAGAGCGTGGTGTTCTATTTTTGATATTAACGTTGACGTTCGAAGATTTGAATCGCATCTATTTGGTTCCTGTTCGATTTCGCACTGTTTGAATTTTTATAACAGTGGCCTGATGAAGACCCTGGTAGGGTCGAAAACGTTTGCTTAAACGAGTATCACTGGAGATTTGGAAGGTTTTTATACAGGTAGAAGGAAATATATTACCTCCAGTATTTGATAGGAAGTTCAGTTTTTATTATAGGGGTTGTTGCTATTAAATTTTGGCAATTAAAGGATGAGGGAAGAGCAGATAATGGAAGTTGTGTGTATCTCCAGTAGAATCAGACTTAATGATGATTTTACTTGTTATTAGCATTTACAATTTTTTATAAAACTCATCCCTACACTCAAAATTAAGCTTTTTTTTCTAATATTATAATTTTTATAATATTCTCAAAAGTTTTGCCTTTTTATAAGTTATCATATTTTATTAAAATTTTTAATATTTTTATCAGATGGAACCACCAAAATTTTAAATGTTGCCAGGAAAGTTGAGCAACTTATTGCCAATTTATTTTAATATGTCCTTGAAATGATATTTAATCATTCAACAAATGTACTGTACTTGTGAAATCTTTGATAAATGAATTATTGCAACACTTTTAAGTCATGTATCCAAACCATTTTAATTGGCTTACTGATAATGAAACAATTAAAAGTATATATCTAATGAAAAAGATAACCAATATCTTTATATAAAAAGAATATTAGTTATTATATCAAAATATTATATTATTAATCTTACATAATAGATAAAAGGGTTTTATCTGTACAAATTTAAATTCGTATAATCTGCTCTCTCCAAGTCATTTTAACTGGCCAGTTGACCAATTAAATATTTCTTCTCGCTAGTTAAAAATTTATACCATAATACTTGACTGTATTATAGTATAGGCATTATTTTCCTGTCATTAACTTGTGTTTGTAAGGAAATTTGCAGTAGTAACCAACTAACAATGTTGATTGACTACCTAAAATTATTTTCTCTTGAGAACATTGGTATATATATTAATTGTGTATTTTAAAATATTCAGAGTTAAATGTAATTTGATTTTTAATGTGTAAATATTATTTTATTGTAAATAAAAACACTTTTCAACAAAAATGAATTAATATAAGAACATTTCATTCTTTTATTTATGCAATGTAATTATATGTTACAACTTGATTATTATTTTGCTCAAACTATTTTCAACTATATTTCTTATTCTTATTTTAATGTGATTATTTAAAAATTTATCTGTACATTAAAATGTATATGAAACATATTTAAAAAATGTAAAAGAAAAAACTTATGAAACTAAACATGTTAGAAGCTTTAAATATATGATTATACTTTAGCTAATTTTCCACATAGTCGCCATACAAATTTAAACATTTGTCATGTGTATCATCAACTTTTCTATGCCTTCTGCACGCCCAGCTACCGCCAAGTTCTTGAAGCAGTCATTAACAACCTTTTTCAGTTCGTTGTCACTTCCATAGTGATTCCTAGCTAAAAATCCTTCAATTTTGGGAAAAGATGGTAATCATTCAGAGCCAAGTTCGTGCTATAAGGAGGATGTTCAAAAACTTTCCACTTAAATTGCTGAAGCAAATTCTTCGTCAACGCAGCAGCATGTGGATGTGCGCTATCCTGAAGAAGCACATCCACATTGTTTTGAATAGTGCAGCATAGTTAGTGAAGGGTCTGACAATAAGCCGCTGCATTTATGGTCTCCCTTCTGGGCATGTAGTTAATGAGTAGGATGCTCTTCTTATCCCAAAACACTGTAGCCATAACCTTTTTGGTGCTCAGAATTTGTTTGGCTTTTTTTGGTCTTATTGGGGATCTGGAATGATGCCATTCTATTTGACTGGTGCTTTGTTTCTGGAGTTTTATGCAAAATCCAGATCTCATCACCAGTAACAGTGTGGTTCAAAAACTCCTTGCCATCGTTGTTGTACCGACTGAAAAAAGTCAGTGCAGCTCCCATCTAATTTTTTAGTGTTCATCTGTCAAAAGTCAAGGAACCCATCTGGCACACACTTTTCTGTAGCCCAAATCACCACTAACAATGCCATAAAGAACTGTTCTTGAAATTTCAGGAAAGAACAAACTGAGTCCATCTGTAGTGAAACATCTATCCTATTGAATTTTTTCCTCAATCCTTGATTTGAATTTGTCAGTCACAACTGAAGGTCGGCCCGAGTGTTCTTCATCATGAATATTTCGTTTGCCCGCCATTAAACATGATGCACCATTTTCGAACTGAAGCTTCATTTATCACATTACCATAAACCTCAGTTATCTGTCAGTAAATTTTGATACGGCAGACTTTTTTCACATTCAAAAAGCATATTACACTACAAACCTCACACGTGGAGGGCTCTTTAATTTTGTGACACATTTCAAAGTCCACAATAAACAGTAAACGATCGTTGCAGCTCGCTATTAGCATTAGACTGGCATGAAAAAATGGGAAGGTTCATGATGTGGCAGGGGGGTGGTGGAAGAACTGCGCAGCTATTCAGATCAAAACATTCTTATCTTTTAGAATGACCCTCGTAGTTATGGTAATTGAAAAGTTTTAATATATGAAAAAGTATCTCAAGAACATATTGCAAGATGTGAAAGGAAGAAACAATAGATATTAAATTTTGATCTATGGAAAATCTCTCTAATCAATTATGAAATAAAATTGTAAGCTTTCCTATTAGAAAGAAAATAGTTAAATCCCATATTATTGCAACTGGTTTGATGAATTTCATCATATACAAATAAAATTTTTAATAAAATGCTTAATATTTGAAAAAA